TCTTCATAAAGCCATAGATTTAGAGCCCCCATGGTGAAGAACTCTAAAATCTCAAAGATGGTGCAGAAGAGACTCACTGGACTATAGGTCTAAGAATTAAATAATGAATGAGCATATATTTTTCTGTTACTAGGCCCCTCTGTTTGGAAAAACATCTTCAAATAAACGTTATTTATATGAAAATCCACTGACCTGTGTTTCCTTACAAGGTTGGAAGGAGAAGTTCTGCATTACTTTGACAAGAGCAAGTTTCATGTTCATGAGAGCAAACCTCATACCAATGCAGTTTCGGGGTCCATTTCCAAAGGGCATGTACACATAAGGATCGATGCTGTCCTTGTTCTGCTTACTGAACCTGGTCAACAAAGATGACAAATCAACAAAACATTAAAACTACAACAGTTACTTATTTCAGTTTGTGCCTTAGACATCCCCAAGCAATGGTGTAAAAGATTATTTCTGGGCTGGTTATTGAAATCTAGCTGTGGTTTTGCTATAAGAATTGTTAAGCTATGGAGTTTTTCCACCTTTCTCCCCCTTAGCCTATAAAAGTTATTCCACCTTTCTCCCCCTTAGTCTATAGGATCTTTCAGTCTTTTTGAGATGAGATAAATGCTGTTTCAAAGGAAATCATGATAAATTGAGACAGTAAAGGAAACAACACACACATAAAATATAAGGAGTATAAGAATGAATACATAAAATGAAATGAGATAGTGGTTATGTCAGTTATGGGTCATGCTATGAAATTTGAAAACACAGACACAGACACACACACACACACACACACACACACACATACATATACACAAACACAGTTATGGTGCCATATCTGAGGAGAATTAGTTTTAGCATCAGAATAAACAAAATCCCAGGTGTTGAAGTCTCTTATAAAATAATGAGAAAATACTTGTATAACATATGCACATCCTGAAATATATTTTAAATCATCTCTGGATTACTTATATTAACTAATAATGTGTAAATACTATATAAATACTTACTGTATTACACCGTTTAGGAGAAACTGACAAGAAAAAATGTTTATTTAGTTAGTTGAAATTATAGATCCAAAAACAATACATACAGGCTGAGCACAGTGACACATGCCTGTAATCCCAGCGACTTGGGAGGTGGAGATAGAAGGATCCCAAGTTCAAAGCCAGCTTCAGCAATTTAGTGAGGCACTAAGCAACTCAGTGAGACCCTGTCTCTAATAAAATACAAAATAGGGCTATGAATGTGGCTCAGTGGTCCACCGCCCCTGAGTTCAATTTCTGATACCCAAAAAAAACATACATGCAAGAGGTTGAATGCATATATTATCAAGTGCTAGCAAAAATCAAATAAAATATGATACAATCTAGTTTGCAAAAATATCTATATGCATAGAAATATGTTTATGAGAACATGGTCATATTATTAATTCATAATTATTTAAGAATTTAACAAACTAAAAAGTTTCTTCTCAG